TTTCCTTCTACCTGCGTGCATGCGTGTGCTTTTATTTGTGTCTTGTACGTGTGTCTGTTTGTCTGTTTGTATGTTTGTCTGTTCTTGGTAGAGTGAAGACGACTTGCCTGGTCGTCGGGCATGTCCTTGCAGGCGTCAGTGGTGATGTCCAATTGCAGCGGCCTGCCGATGCTCACCACCCTGCGGCCTTTGAAGGTGCCCGCGATGCAATGGAACCGTTCCGGCACAGTCTTCCAGTGCATAGCAACACGCACCATGTCGCCGGCATCGAGGACGCCGTAGCCGAAGAGATGATTGAACTCGAGGCCGGCGCCATTCACGGTCCAGTTGTGGTTGCGTTGGCGATCGTTGAGTCGATTGCGCTTCGACGTCAACACGGTCAGATGTTGCACATCGCGCCACGTCAACTCGCCGTTCGCCTCCAACGCCAACGCGAACACTCCCGCGGCTTCCGGCGCCGCGGCCGAAGTGCCCGAATGGTGCAGCGTACAGTTGCCATACAGATCGACCGTGCCGACGCCTGCGTCGCGACGTAAGCCAGCCTTGCCGTTGGAGAAGGTGGAGGCGAGAGTGGAGGCGCACGACTCGTCGTAGCTGGCCGTCTGTCCGTCGTTGGTGGCCGAGTTGATGCTGATCGTCCACATGCTGGCCGCGTAGCCGTCGCAATTGCAGTCGTCGTTGACGCCGCCGTCGCCCGACGCCCACACGTACAGCGCGCCGCGTCCCCCCCTCCCCTCGTTGACGCCGTCGACGAGAGCGCGCATCGTCTGGTTGCGCGGCCCGTCGACGGTGCGTCCGTCGTCCGTGGGGCCCCAGCTGGCCGAGTAGATGTCGACGAGGTGACGAGCATGTGCCATCGCCGCCGCCTCGATCAGATCCGTCATGTAAGGCTGATCAAGCATGCGCAACCCGGCAACCCGCGAGCCCGGTGCCACGCCGACGCCGCACACGCCGTTGCCGGCCACGGCGGCCACCTCGCCGGCGCACCGAGTCCCGTGGCTGTTGAACCAGTCGTCGGTGTAGCGCGGGTACGGAAACGCGTCGTTGCCGGAGAAGTCGTAGCTGGCCTCCGACGCGTAGTTGGGCGCCAGGTCGGCGTGGAGATAGTCCACGCCGTCGTCCATGATGGCCGTGATCACTCCGCGACCCGTCACGTTCAACGCCCACGCCGAGACGACGTTCAGGTCGAGGCCCGGCGTGCCCTCGGCTTGGCCCGTGTTGTGAATGTACCATTCTTTCGTGAAGAGCGGATCCGACGCCGCCAGTCCACGCAACAGCCGACGTCGACGCGCTTCAAACGACAACGCTGAATCGGTTTCCGTCTCCGTCGACGACGCCGACGCCGACGCCGACGCCGACGGCGAGGGTGGATGTTGAAATCCGCGCTTACGACTCACAAAACCGTCGGCCCGGCTTGTGCTG